TGGATGGATGGATGGATGGATGGGTGGGTGGGTGGATGGGTGGGTGGACGGGAGGGTGGATGTGTGGGTGTGTGTGTGTGTGTGTGTGGAGGGGGGGATGCATACTTCCCTGGAGTTCCGTTCCCCAGTGCACTTACTTGTAGGAGAAGCTCAGGTTGGTCCCCGTGTCATTCCAGGTCACCTGCACCGTTTCAAAATTGAAGTAGATGATTTGCACCTGGACTGCTTCTCCTGGGTGACAGAGGCAAGAACGTCTTGAGGAGACGCGGGACGGGGTGGGTGGACATCCAGGGCCACCGGCGTCCCTGTCCTTCCCGGGCAGCTTGCAGGCGGGACCCCGGCCGACGCAGTGGCCCGCGGCTGCGCTCGCTGAGGGAGCATTACCCAGCCTCAGGTTCTGTTGGGTCGGGCTTCAACTTTTCGTTGTTGGAGACAGTCTCCTTACGCACCTCACACTGTCTCTCAACTATGTAGCCTAAGCCGGCCTAGAACTGCCAGAGATTGTCCTGCCCCAGCCTCCTGCGTGCTGGGATGACAGGCGTGGGCCCCACGCCCGGAACAAATATGTATTTCCAAGCAGGCTTTGCTCAAAGGCAGCAGGCTGCTGGCCAAGCTGGGTCCGCAGTGAGCCCGGCCGCGGCCCCCCGGGGCACACAGGGAGCCAGCGCCCGTCCTGAGCAGGACCCGCCTGCCTGTCCTGCCTGCCTGTCCCCGCCTGCTCAGCTGGGGCCTAGGGCGGCAGTGACCTCACAGCAGGCCCGGGAACTCCGCGGAGGATGCCACTGCTTGTGCCGCGGGCTCGGGGACTCTGGGCTCGGTCTGGGCTTCCCCGGGAAAGCACAGCCCCATGGAGGCGGCCGAGCCCATCCCCACCCGAAAGCAGAAGCGTGGCCCCCGGGGCGCCGGCGGGGGTGGCAGAGGCAGTGACATCTGTGGAAACAGGAAGAGAGGACGCGGCTCGGCCCCGCGCTGCGGCTCGGCCCTGTGGGCTGCACCCTGCGCCTGGAGCACTCCTGAGGGCTTTGCTGTTGGCTAGGAGCCCGGGAGAAGGCTGGTCACCCGGCTCTGTCTCGTCCCGTGACAGGCTCCCCACTGGGGCAGCCGAGGGGCAGAAAGGACAGGCTCCCGCGGGGAGTCCGGGAAGGCAGCCGGGGGTGTAGCGGTGCGTGCCGGCACACCAGCACTCGGGAGGCTGAGGCAGGAGGATCTCAAGTTCCAGGCCAGACTCGAGATCCCTAGATCCAAATAAAACTGAGACGCGCAGGGGCTGGGGCTGGGGCTCGGTGGGCAGGCCCTGGATGACTCCTTTCTGCCCTGTTTTTCTTCAGTGCTGCAAATCGAATCCAGGGCTGTTTGTATGTCTGCAGGGTCTGCCCGAGCTGCTATGCTTTCATGGTATGCCCGGGTTGCGGCCCTCCTGCCTCAGCCTCCCGGGGCCAGGCTGACAGGCGGATGTCCTGTTCCCCGGCTCTGCTCCTCCTCTGACAGTCCTGTGCCTGAGACTGCACCCCAACTCAGCCGGGAGCGGCCCGCTGTCTTTCTCAAAGAGGATATATATATATATGAATGAAAGAAATGATACAGAATTTCACTGAAAAAATGATAGAAATTCAACAACTGCTGTTACATTGCATAGTGTAGTCCTCAAATTAGTTGTTCATGAAATTAGGGGAAGCACACCTTTCACAATAATATTCAAAAAAAGACAGACAGACAGACAGACAGGCCAGGGAGGTGGCTCAGGAATAAGTGCTTCCCTGGCAAGCGCAAGGGCCTGAGTTCAATCCCCGGTTCTGCAAGAAAAAAAAGAAGGAAAAAGAAAAAGAAAAGAAATACTAGGAATCAAGCTCACAAAGGAAGTCAAAGATTTATACGGTGAAAATGACAGTAATGTGGGGGAAGGAGATTGAGGAGGGTGTCAGGAATGGCCAGTGTCCCTCGGAGAGAAGGGCCTCGCTCCGGGCACCGCTGCGCAGCGCCGTCGGATTACAGCGCCTTGGGACGGCGCACGGGCCTAGCGGGAGTTTTTGGCTGTGTTCATGTTTATTTCCTCCCTGGACCACGAAGTCCTCGAGTGCCACGGGGGGCGGGCACCCTGCCATCTGGGTGATCGGGAGGCTGAGGCAGGAGGGCCCCCGTCCCGGTCCTGCCGGGGAGACCCACCCCTGGGCCTGCCTCTGAGCGCAAGCTAGGAAGGCCTGCGATCGATCGGCCGGGCGCAGCAGCGCTGCGGGTTGGGTCCCCGGGGAGAAGGGGGCAGGGGACCAGGCACCCCGCGCCCGCCCGGGAGCCGCTGGGGCCCTGAGGTTCCAGTTCACACAAACAGAAAGTGGAGCCGGGCCAGGAAGCCCGCTGTTTCTTTACTGAGCCTCGAAGGGTTTCCGTGGCTGAAAGCAAACTCCCCACGGTTGGTGGCGTCCCACACTACGCCACCCAGCGGGGCAGGGCCCTGGCGCTGGCGGGATTTGTGCTTGCCGGCCTTCCTCAAAACAAGAAAGTGAGGCCACTTCAGCCTGCCCCTCCGGTCTGTGTGTACCCAGCGGTGGAAGCCCCCGGGAGGCTGAGGCAGGAGGTTCGCTGGGCTGCACAGGGACACCGTGCCTCAAGAACACCAAGCGGGGGGTGCCATCGACACCCCCACTCCCGGGGGCTCAGGTGCTGCTGCGGGGTGGGTACACGCCGCAGCCTCTGCTGATGCCCTCCCGCACGGGCGTCGGGTCACCTCCAGGAGCCAGGCCTGGCCAGGTCTCCTCTGGAACTCGGGAGCCTCCTGCCTCAGCCTCCTGACTCGGGGGACAACCTGGAGTGCGGGGACCTGGTGTCCACCCCGCTGTCACCGCAGGAGATGGGCAGGCCCCAGGTCCGGCCCGGGTAACTCAGCAAGACCTCGCCTCTGGCCGGTCATCCGAGCCCCCGGGAGGCAGAGGCAGGAGGGTCTCAAGTCAGAGCCCAGCCCCAGGAGCCACGACGCCTGGTCTGCATGGAAACGGGGTGAGGCAGGGAGGCCGCGCGGTGGCGGCCCCTGAGCTCGGCCCAGCACCTCAGCTAAGTCGCGGGCCCAGCTGGGTCAGCGTGGCTCAAATCCATCGGAACAAACTGTGGTTCGCCCATGAACACCAGGGTCGAGCCACGCCGTGTCATTCTGAAACTGCAACCACGCACAGCGCAGCCCAGGACCCGCGTGGGGGACAACGCAGGGCCTCAGGACGCGACCTCGCTTTCCCAGGGACGGTGAAGTCACCCCAACTCCCCGCATGACCGTCACAGTGAAAACCACGTGCTTTCAAGGCCGGGCATGGTGACACGTGGCTGGAGCCCCAGCCCTCGGGAGGCCGAGGCAGGAGGGTCTCCGGGCACAGGACAGGGACGGGGTGCGGGACGCGAGTGGACGCGCCCCCCCAGGGTCCTCTTACCGGCTTCTGGGTCCCCTGCGTCCGCTGGGTCCCCCAGGAGCAGCAGGATGGCAGCGGCCACCCAGGGCTGGACACGTGGCCCCATCTCCAGCTGAAGTCGGGCCCTCGAGAGCTCCGCGCTCCTGGTGTCCCCAAGCCCGGCTTGTGACTAATAGGCCCGAGGCCGCCCCGTTTGCTGAACGCAGAAAGGAAGCTAGGGAAGTGATTGGGGCAGGAAGCCGTCACGGTTGATTTCAGACCATGATATCCAGAGAGGAGCGGAGGGGGCAGGGAGCCCGGCGCTGCGGGCGCTGCCGTCCACGCCAGGAGGGGGACCTGCGGCGGGCGGGGCCCGGTCCCCAGACGAGAGGCGGACCCCGGGACGCCCGCGGCCCCACCTGGGGGACACTCCGGGCCCCACAGGGACATGGGGAGGTGGCCCAGGTCCGCAGGGCACCTTTGGGGTCACTGGTCAGGAAGACGGTCCACAAACACAGCCTGTGGGGTGAACCTGGGTGTGAATGGGGCCCTGTGACAGCGACCCCGGGCCCCACGGTGACAAGCGAGGGTGTCCCCGAAGGACGGCCCCCAGGGGACAGGAGAGGAGACCGGCTGGACCCACTGCCATGGGAACAGACAGACATGATGGGGGTTCAGATAAGTGGCCACGTGGGGACAGACAGATAAAGATAAGCAGGCGATAGGCCACTGATGGATGACAGGTCCACGACAGACGGACAGATGACAGACGGACCCTGAGTGGATGGCAGCCCGGTCGGCTCCGTGCTCCGAGGTCCATGTGGGCGGCGGCTGACCGACTGAGATTCAGCCTGAGCGAGCGCCAGAGACACCTCGGGTGGTGCCTGGTGCCACGGCTTCAGAGGCCACGGAAGAAGTCCCAGAGCGTGGCCGGCAGTGCCACCGAGTGACGGCCACAGGGGTGGACAGCGGGCACCAATGGCCGCGGCACCGGGGTCGGACTCCGGACCCTGCTGCGGGGTAGGTACACGCCGCAGCCTCTGCTGATGCCCTCCCGCACAGGCGGGAGAAGGCCTGAGCACATAGTGTGACATAGTCGTGTGACAGACACTGAACCACAGTGCAGCGCTATGACACACACACACACACACACACGCACGCACACACAGCCGGCTTCCCGACCCTGGGAGAGGGACGCTGGCCGTCCAAGGGGAACAGAAAGGCTGGGCGTGACGCTGCGCCACAGTGGGGCTTCCCACGGATCACACATGCTGTGACATTTTGGGGCACGGAGGTCACCCCCGCCGTCCCGTTTCACTTCCCCCGTGCAGGCGACTTGGGAATGGCAGGGACCACGGCAGCAGGGAAGTGCAGCGCCCACAGCCGAGTGTCCCTGTGGGCCTGCAGAGCTGCGCACGGGAGCCGGGAGCCCAGGCGGTGCCCGTCGGGGGAGGGGAGAGAGCGGGCGAGGGGGCATTCTTCCTGCCAGTATAGTACTCCGCTCTGTACACGGTGTGTTCTTTACACACCTACCACAGTTCTGCAGCTCAGCTACGGATTGATGGGTGTATCTGTATATGTCTGAGGTTTTTGCTGTCATCCATCGCTCATCTACCCACCGCGTCTCTCGCTATGTGCTCAGGCCTTCTCCCCACAGACTAAGCTGCACAGGCGGAAGCCCGAACGCTAGAGCCTCCTGCCTCAGCCTCCCAGAGTGCCGGGAAGGCCCGTGACTCAGCTTGCGACTGAAGCGGATTCAGGGAGCGCCAGGACGCTTATGCTTCGGGTGAGTCGGGTCTTCAGACAGCGGCAGCGTCGGGGAGCACCCCGGCTGAGCGATGAGATCTGGGGTAACCCAGACACCCCGTGAATATCATCTGCGGTGAGCCAGAACACAGGGGTGCACAGGGACCCTGCGGTGAGCGTAATTTGGGGTTCGTGCTCAGGCGCCGGCGCAGATTCTCAAACGCCCTTCATGGAGCAGGACGGGTGGAGCGGGCGCCTGCGCGCTCAGCATGCAGGAGGCCGAGGCAGGAGGGTCCCGCCCGGCGGGCCACGGGGCGAGCGAGGCCTCAAGCCTCAGGGCTGCGGCCTCCGGGGCAGGAGGAGGCGGAGGCGGGCCGGCGCGCTCCTGGCGTGCCCGGGATGCCTGCCCGAGCTGCGGCCCCTCCCCGCGCCTGCGCCCCGCGCCTCTGGGGGCGGCC